AAAAAGTTTGCCCACCCCTGGGCTAGAACCTAATAGGTAATCAATAGTGTATTCACTCAACAGATGTTTATAGGGACTTCTTTTATGCAGGCATTGTTTCTGAGAGTTGGGGATAGATATGAATGAAACAGACAAAAGCCCTTGCATGGAGCAGGGTTGGGCAGACAAACAATAAACAAAGTAAGTAAATTATGTAGATAAGTACTAAGGGGGGGAGGGAGTAGAGCTGTGTGAAGGGTGGCAGTTGGACAAGACATGCATGATGCAGTATTAGAGTGATCAAGGTAGGCCTCACTCGAGTCAAGCAAAAACAAACAGGATGAAATAGCCTAGTACAGTGGTCGGCAAACTCATTAGTCAACAGAGCCAAAAATCAACAGTACAACGACTGAAATTTCTTTTGAGAGCCAAATTTTTTAAACTTAAACTATATAGGTAGGTACATTGTTATTAACTTAATTAGGGTACTCCTAAGGCTTAGGAAGAGCCACACTCACGGGGCCAAAGAGCCGCAGTTTGCCGACCACGGGCCTAGTAGATGTCCGGAGAAGCACAGTCCAGGCAAAGGGAACAGCTAGAGCAAAGGCGCAAGGCCAGAGGTTGTCTAGCATGTGTAGAGAATAGCAAGGAAAAAAGTGATCAGAAGAAGGTCAGAAAGCCAGATCATTTATGGCCCTGGAAGGACATTTTTAGGACTTTGACTTTTACTCAAAATGAAATGGGAAGCTTTTGCAGAATAGTGACATAATCTGACTTTCATTCTAAAAGATTGCTCTGTGAAATGCATACAGAAATAAGATGAATTGATGAAGGGAAGGAGCCATGGATAAATGTGTGCTAAAACAAATATGGCAAAATAGTGCAGAATCTAGGTGATGGGTATGTCACTGTTTAATTCTTTCAAATCTTATGTGTGTTTGAAAATTTTTATAAGAAAAAGTTTTAAACTGTTAAGAAAAATTAAATCTAACCCTGATGATCTATAATAATAAAAGCATAATATGCTAATTAGACCAGACAACCTTCAGACAAAACCGGGGTGGCGGGGGCCGAGCCCCTTTCATGAATTTTGTGCATCAGGCCTCTAGTAATATTATAAATTAGCTAATGTGTATCATTTTATAGGATGATTCTAACATTCTGTACTGAACTATAAGGAAATTCTGCATGCCAAATCTCCTTTCCTCACTAACCTTCATTATGAATAGAATGTATTTCTTTGAAAAGAATCTGGTTGCCCTGGCCAGTTTGGCTCAATGGATAGAGCGTTGGCCTGCAGACCAAATGTCCCTGGTTCGATTCCGGTCAAGGGCATGTACCTCAATTGCAGACTCTTCCCTGACCCAGGCCCAGGCCTATGCAGAAGGAAACCAATTGATGTGTTTCTCTCACATCCATAGTTCTCTCTGTCTTTCCCTCTCTCTTCTACTCTCTCTAAAAATCAATGGAAAAATATCCTCGGGTGAGGATTAAAAATATAAATCAATAAAGGGGAAATTTGATTCTTTAAAAAAATAAAAGAATCTGGTTAATAAAATCTAAGATAAAAATCTTACCTACAAGTGTAAAAGCCATAAAAATTATATTTTCTAAATAATGAAGTGACTGTTAATTTATAAACAAAACAAAAATGTATCAGTAAAAAAATGTATTCTAGCTGTTATATTTTAGAAATCTAGGGGTCATGGGCCAGTGTGGTAAGAAGTGGTCAAATTCTGTGGCTAGATTTTCAAAAGACCAACAGAATTTTCTGTTAAGCAGTCATGTGCCACATAACATGTTTCCTTCAACAATGTACCACATATATGATGGTGGTCCCATAAGACTATATTGGAGCTGAAAAACTATTGCCAAGTGATGTCATAGCCATCATAATTTCCTAGTGCAACACATTACTCATGTGTTTGTAGTGATGTGATGTAGACCAACCTACTGCACTGCCAGTCGTTTAAAAGTATAGCATGTGCAATTATTTATAGTACATAATACTTGATAATAAACAATTGTGTTACTGGTTTATGTTTTTACTATATTTTTATCATTATTTTAGAGTGTATTCTTTCTACTTATAAAAAAAATAATTTTGAAAAGTTGGCCATATTATGCCAGCAGCCTCATACATCTCATGTTTACCATGTCTTTTGATAGCACCATTTTCTCTTGTGCTTGATTTAATGTTGTGTTGTTTTATTCATCATGGCCCCTAAACATACAAAATCTGCTAATGTTGCTAGTAACAGACTATGTTGAATTATTGACCTGGATATGAAATAAAAGTGATTCAGGACTACAAAGGTGGAAAATGAGGAAGGTTATTGGTCAGTCAAGCATGCCCCATTCCACCATAGGTACAATCTTGAAGAACAAAGTGATGGAAGCTGTTGAAGGATCTGCTTCATTGAAGGCATCAAGACTAACAAAAAGTTGAGAGGAGCCTATATCAAACATGGAGAAACTTCTAATGACCTAGATTGATGACCAAACACAGAAGCATATCCCTATAAGCCCCATAACAATCAAGGCCAAAGCAAAAAGTTTGTTTGCGATGTTGAAAGAAAAGGCTGAACTTGACTACAATGTTGAATTTACTGCTAACTCTGGGTGGTTTAAATGATTAGAGAATTGTTATTCATTACATCATGTGAAAGTGATTGGTGAGTCTGCAAATGCTGATGTGAAGACAGGTGAAGAATTTTTGAAAATTCTAGATAAGTGATTGAGGAAGAAAATTACTTGCCAGAAGAAATACAGCTTATAAGCAAATCTATGATGGAAAAAAGCAATCAAGCAAACCACCATGGACATAGTTCTGAACCGAGTGACACTTTCTCAAGAAGAGCCTCAGGCAGTCCTTCAGTAGGTATTTTAGAAGACAATGTTATCAGAGGAGATGACAGCTTCATGCATGTTACTGCCCCTGAAGAGTTTTCAATGAGATACGGTGTGGAGTGGAAAATAGTGATATCAATTATCCTGATCAATATAGGTCTAGGCCAGTGGTCGGCAAACTGTGGCTCTTCCACAAAATACCACGTGTGGGCGCGCATGTACAGTGCGATTGAAACTTCGTGGCCCATGCACAGAAGTCGGTATTTTGTGGAAGAGCCACACTCAAGGGGCCAAAGAGCCGCATGTGGCTTGCGAGCCGCAGTTTGCCAACCACTGGTCTAGGCTAATGTGTGTTCATGTCTTTGTTTTTAAAAAAATTAAAAATTTTTAAATAGAAAAGCTTATTCTATATAATATAACCCTAATATGCAAGTCGATCAAATGGCAGATCTACTGGTCGCTATTATGCGCACTGACCACCAGGGGCAGACGCTCAACGCAGCAGCTGCCCCCTAGTGGTCAGTGCCCTCCCAGTAAGAAGCAGCGAGCAGGCAGACAGTGAGGAGCAAGGGGTCCCGGACTGCAAGAGGGCACAGGCCGGGCTGAGGGACCCCTCCCTCCCCCAGTGCACGAATGTCGTGCACTGGGCCTCTAGTCTAATATAAAGAAAAATATTTTGGTGCAGCTGTACAATGTGTTTGTGTTTTAAGCTAAGTGTTGTTACAATAGAGGTAAAAAGCTTAAAAAATTTAAGTTTATAAAGTAAAAAAGTTATAGTAGGCTAAGGTTAATTTATTATTAAAGAAAGAAAAATATTTTTTGGTAAATTTAGTGTAGCCTTAGTGTCCATGATGTCCTAGGCCTTCCCATTGACTCATCACTGACTCACCCAGAGCAGTCCTGCAGCCTCCATGCATGTCCTATGCAGGTGTACCATTTTTTTTATCTTTTATACCAGTGATGGTGAACCTATGACACGCGTGTCACCTCTGACACGAACTCATTTTTTTGGTTGATTTTTCTTTGTTAAATGGCATTTAAATATATAAAATAAATATCAAAAATATAAGTCTTTGTTTTACTATGGTTGCAAATATCAAAAAATTTCTATATGTGACACGGCACCAGAGTTAAGTTAGGGTTTTTCAAAATGCTGACACGCCGAGCTCAAAAGGTTCGCTATCACTGTTTTATACCATATTTTTACTGTACCCTTTCTCTGTTTAAATACATAAATACTTACCATTGTGTGACAGTTGCCAACAGTATTCGGTACATACTGTAAAGGTTTGTAGCCTAGGAGCAGTAGGCTATCTCATTTAGTCTAGGTATGTAGGAGGCTATTCCATCTAGGTTTGTGTAAGTACACTCTATGATGCTCACACAAGGACGAAATCGCTTAATAATGCCTTTCTCCCCATCAACAAGTGATGCATGATTTTACTTAAATCAAAAAACTCAAAATGAGTTCTCAACTGCATGCAGGCTAAGGCATGAATCTGTTCTGTTCTAGATATACCAAAAGACCTTACCTTTGCAAGAGCTCTGAATTTCACATTTCCATTGCCCCACAGGCCCCCTCCTTGGATCATCTGCTGTGTGTTTATTGAGCAAAACCCTGAGAATATAACAGAATATAAAGCATGGGAAGCTTAAAATTTAATAAGGAAGATATAAATATATAAAAATTAAATAAGAGAATTTGTTAAGATTACATGACAACTTCAATTTGAACTAACCATTTTACACATTTTTAGGAGTACTATACTTAACAATAACAGTTGATAAGTAGGTCATCATCTTTTCCATTGGTGCCATGGTGACCTAGGGTGAGACCACTGACTCTCTCGTTTGAAATAGACTCTAAGTCTGGTCTTCACACTCTTCCTGGCCTGGCTATCATTTAAAATGTTTACCCTTATTTTTCTCTTTTATAATGCTGATTATAGGGAAACCACTTGGTGGTTCTGCTAACTTTTAAACAGTAAATTCTTAAAATTTTGCAATGTCTTCTGAGGGCTGGGTTCTCACCTCTATTATGCTGTCTAGAAGCTTTCTTTTCCTACGCTTTTACTAGCCTTAAAAATAGAAGTTCTTCTTTTTACCTGGAGCCCACTTTGAGGGCATTGGGGGCTGAATTCTCTGAACTCTCCTTAACTTAATGCCTCAAGATATGTTGTCACAGAATTGATGCAGAGTGACCTACATAAAATTATCGTGTCTCCTCAACCACTCAGCTCAGATCATGTCAAAGTTTTTCTTTATCAGATTTTGCGAGGTAAGATTTTCTTCATGAAGAAAAAGATAGTGTCATTGTAAATGAAATGTTTTACTTTTCATTTGAACTTTAACTAATCTGACTTTCCAAGGCTTTCTTTTTTCCTAAATACTTTTTTTCTTTTGACCAAGGTATATTTAATAATCTCTATACTTGATATTAAATAAGAGACTTTTAAGGATAGCCAAATGGTTTTTATTTTTAGTGATGGAATAGAGTGTCCTAATTTATTAGGCAGTTGAGTAGGTCAGTGTATACAGGTGAATAAGCAGGATGGTTTGTTAAGCAGCAGTGGTTTAGTAGGAGATGACTACTAATAAATTGAAAAGTCACTGTGTGTTCCCTATGGATGTCGTCCTTTCTTCAAGCCAGTATTAGGTGGTCCTGATCAGAGTGTTGGCTGAGTCCAACTCTAGGAAAACAAAATGATTATTAAAGTGAAAGCATGGAGGAGACTGATAGAAACAGCCAGCTAAATAATTCTCCATTCTGGCTTATTAAAGAGCAAGGACTTGATAGAGAAGCGATTTGGGCTGACAGTGTTGGCATTTTCTCTGGCCATCAGGTGTGTCCTTCAGAATTTTTGCTATTACAAATTGAGAATTGTTTACAGCTGACACAGCTTTCTGACCTAGAAAAATACTCCCTCACCTCCCACTGTCCAGATTCATAGAATTAAGACATTCTTTATAAAGATTGAAAAGCATCAGCCAAAAGGATGAAAACATATGCACAATATTAAAACTAGAAAGCCCACCTTCTGTAGTTGTGTGTTGCTATTCCGCAGTGGGGGGAGAGGGGAGATATTGGATTTTTTTATACTTGTAAAAAATGTGATTTGCTGTATTTTACTCAAAGGACAGCCTTAAAGCTATGACCTTTGTCTGGCAGTGCTAAAGCTCCCTGTCTTTTAAAGTGTAGTTAATTACCCTCTGGATTCTCCGAGGTAGAAAATACTGCCAACAAACATGGGCAAGTTTCTGAATTTTGTTGCATCTGTCCTGGGAAAGACTCCCTATTGGCTGATGGGAAGTATTTTGTTGAAGCATGCTCGGAATCACAGGTTGGGGGTCATTAATAGCAAAGCTCCAGTAGCCACACTTATGAGTAACTTAAGGATATTGGTCAGCATTAAGGCCAGAAAAGCTTATCTATCCACAAACCTAAATAATCTTTTGAATTATCTCTAGATTATGTAAACCTTTGATGACACTTTATTTTACTGTAGCAAAATTATATTTTTTTTTGAGCTAAGACTAAGTCAAGCTTTTTAATCATGATCACTAAGCATTTAGTTAGGGAATCATTTAAAATCCTGTATTCTCTGTTTCTATGGTTTTCCCCAGATCAGTGGTTGAGTAAAAGGAATTAAATATCTGCAATTAAATCTGCTTGTTATTTCAGGTTTGAAATATCTTCATTCAGCTGGCATTTTACATCGAGACATTAAGCCAGGGAATCTCCTTGTGAACAGCAACTGTGTTCTAAAGGTAGCTTTTCCATTTATTTAAATATCTGAGAAAACATCAGAATGTCAAGGCAGGTTTAAGAAAAACACGTTTTTCTGAAAGAAATCCTTATTTTTATTTTCATCACTTAACCAAAAATTAAAGAACCCAGTTTTCTCTAGTGATATCACTAGTCATGGCCATAGTAACTAATTTATAGTATTGCCTCATGGTTTCTTCATGATATTTTGCATATGTTTTGGAAAACCTGAAATTGGAATTACAGTGGGACTAAAAAACAATAATAGAGGTGATTTCTTTTCAGATTATTCCATTATTAAAGGAAGTATATATCGGAGGAAATATTGAAATACCAGTAAGGTTCTATTTATATGAAAATGAAGTATGACTTTTTTAAGAAGACTGTGTTTTTACACAGCTAACATTTTTATATGCTGTTAGAGGTAGCAAAGTAGGAAAGTGGAAACATTTAAAAGCGAAAATACTAAGCTAGAAAGGGGTCAAGTATTTATTAATATACAGTATTCTCTTCTGAAGGAGAATTGCTTATGGGACTAATTATAGTTAGTAGCCCCAAATTTTCATATGTTAATTTCAGTTTTACTTATCACCCCTCCCCCTTGTCTTTTGTTAGAATGACTCACAAAACCCACATATGTGCATTTCCCCACCACTAATAGAGATATATATTAGCAAAACTCCTAAAAAGCGAGAGATCCACCATATTTTTCCCTATCATAGGAATTACAGATAAGGGCCTTCCTGGAACTGTGTCATCTCTGTGTGAGAAAATTAAAATTCCACTTATTTTATGAGTAACTACAGTATTTATGGTGCTTCACCTACAATAAATGTAAAATCTTAACATTTTAGCTGATATATATGAAAAAGAAAATTTTTTTAAATGTTTTCTACTTTAATCAACAGAGGGGAGATGGGTGAAAAAGGTGAAGGGTATTAAGAGGTACAGATTCCCAAGTTAAAAATAAAAGTAATCCAGACTATCATTATTGTTTAGCTTGTTGGTAGATAAACTAAATATTAAAACCAAATATATAAATGAATTTCACTTTTTGTTTAAGTGCTATCTTTCAACTGTAGGCCAGTTTTCTTTAAAAGCTGGTGTGTTATGCTGCTTTTGAATAAAAATTTTCCCTTCATACAGTTTCCAGAACTTTGTTCCTGTTTTGACCCTAGAAAGCTTAAAAACATATTTTTCATATTTTCTCTGAAACCAGCTAATGTTGTAGTTTAGTCCTTTGTTTCCACAAAGAAATTAATTATCCCCAAAATCCCTTGAAGTAAATATTCCATCATAGGTCATTGGGTTCATTCCCCTGCCACCTATCCCCATAACCCATATAATTTAAAACCTTATAGTCAGGAATTCTTTGTTCTATTCAGACCAAATCAGTTTTATGACAGCTTAGCCAGTTTCTTATTTCAGTTTCTGTTGGGAGAACTTCACAAAGCATTTTGTGTTGAGTCTGTCATGCTTGATGCCATTAACTGCTTGAGGTTCATTTTCTAAATTGTTATGGTGTTGTAACCTCTGGCTACATGAATAAGTAACTAAAGGAAAATGTCATTTATGAATAAACAACACAAATTAAAATTTTTCTCTGCTCCCTTGACTTGTCTCAGTGGCCTACTTTTAAAAGCCAGAGTAGAATGCAGGCTCTCTCTTCTCAAATGTACAAATTCATCAATAATATTATGGTAAAATATTTCTTTTATTTTTTAAAAGATTTTTTTATTGATTTTTAGAGAGAGAGGAAGGGAGAGGAAGAAAAGAGAGAGAACGATGTGAGAGTGAAACGTGAGAGCAAAACATTGATTGACTGCCTCTTGCACAGCCTCTACTGGGGAGCGAGTCTGAAATCCGGACATGTGCCCTGACCAGGAATCGAACTGGCCACCTCTCAGTGCACAGGACAACACCCAACCAACTGAGCCACACTGGCTAGGGCTCCAGACTGATGTTTTTAACAAAAAACTTGCTTTATAACAGAAAACAGTTTTGGGTGGGTGGGTGGGGTGTTTGTTTTTTAAATATAAATACAAGAAAGATATAGGAAAGTGGAGATATGTGTTTCGTTTTGCTTTTTAAAATATGCTAAAAATTCATGGCCAAGTAATAGAGTTTTAAAAATTAGTGTCACTAGCCTGTGGTAGTATTTGAATATCCCCATATACAAACACGAATTCATTTGATGGGACCAGACATAATAAATTGAAGACAGAAAGAGAGGATTGTCAAAAATTAGGTATAAAATTTGTTTCCTTTGAAGTAGTGGTATTTTATTTTTTCAAATAAAATCATATGCAAGGACCTCAATGTAGAAAACAGACAAAAAGTGTTATTTTGTCATTTGTAATATTGACTCATAAAGTTAATCAGTGAGAACACTGTAGCTTAGATGGCCGTTTCTCTCTTATCCTCAATGCTCCCAGTGTTTGTTTTGGTTGCCCGGTATCAAGAAAATCTTCATTTCTAAAAGTAAGCAGAAGTTGCCGGCACTGCAACTGTTTACTAACAGCTCACCTTGCAATCTCTTTTTAGTTAAAAAAGAAAAACAAAAAAAAGATTTATCTTTAGGTCTACATATTTATTAACCAGTCTTTCTCATTTAATGTTGTGTCTCCAGGTTCTAGCATACTGCCTAAAACATACAGGCACTCAATTAAATATTTATGGCATGAAGAAACGAATGAATCTAGTAGCACTGGTATTACACAGTTTACTACATTTTGACATTTTTACACATCTGAGTGTGAATTAGTCTTTTAAATAAAGATACACGTGAAGTTTAGGTACAGTAGTTATGGAACTCCTGAAATACCTCCTGCAAACTATATTTAGCAGGATTCAATTGGAAACCTATAGCTTTAAAGAAATTTTACTATATATATTTCCATAAAGATAGTGAACATAGCTCAGGAAGTCTTCAGGTTATACTTTTTTAAAATATTATCTTTCTTGATAAGCCAGCCTTGAAAATAGATAGTAACTTAGTTTCTATATTAAACCTAGAAAAACGCACTCAGCTGTTTTTTGTTTTGGTTGCTATCAATTGAAAACATTAAAGGTGAGAAGCATATTTTTAAGAGACATCATTTTATATAAAAATATGGAAGTTTGAGAATTTTTCCTCTTTTCCAAATACAGGGTAAGGTCAAATTATATATTGACACATATATTCTCTACCTATATCATTGAAAACTTTTCAAAGTTCAAAGATCTATCAGGATTTTGGTTTTTTGTTGTTTTGTTGCACTTTACCATTTGTCTGTTTGACAATATTTTGAAAATCTTTTCTATTTAGATTTGTGATTTTGGATTGGCCAGAGTGGAAGAATTAGATGAATCTCGTCATATGACTCAGGAAGTTGTTACTCAGTATTATCGGGCTCCGGAAATCCTGATGGGCAGCCGTCATTACAGCAATGCTATTGACATCTGGTCTGTCGGATGTATCTTTGCAGAACTACTAGGACGAAGAATACTGTTTCAGGCACAGAGTCCCATTCAGCAGGTATGATATCACTTTAGGCTTTAGAAACTTCCAATTCTATTAACAGACTTAAAGGAAAAACTATCTTGCATATATGTCTTTGGGCTTGTTCATTGTACTGTCTAAATTGCTTTTAGCAAATTCAGGTTCACTCACAATTCAGAAAGTTATGAAGTTGCAGATTACAGAGAGACTCATTTTATAACTTACGGGCCTATTAGAGGGAGGGTTCACTTTATTGTATGCAATGGTGCATAGCAGCAGCCTGTATAACAATTTGCACAGGTATAATCTTCAGTTGTCGGAGGGCCTCTGTTCTTTTTGGCTGACTAGGTCTGACTTGAAAATGTATTTGGTGGCTTAATGTACTTACACTTTATGCTTAGAACATAAATTTTGAGTGCTGGTTTCTTTAAATCTAAACATTTAGACACATTTCTAACCTTTATTATTGGGCTAAAATATTTCTATATGGCAGAGAACATCAGGACCTGATTAAAATGTAGCATTGGGACACCATAATGCTTTCATTGTCTGCCTTTATAGCTAATTCATTACTACACATATTTTCTTGGGATAATTTCTAATTATTTTTTATTCATAAATTTTAACAGTATTATTTGCTTGAGAATAATGTAACAATGATGAGTTTAAGCTGTGGAATCAAATCGGTGGGTTCAGATATTAGCTCTGTCACCTAACTATCTATTAAATATTGGCCAGGTTAAACTGTTCTGAGGATCGTTATACAGATTAAATGAAATAGTAAAGCTGAAAATAAGGCCTGGCATACAGTAAGCACTCAAGAAATATAATGGTGGTGGTATGCCAGGGTGCTAGGATTGTAGCAGTAAATAAGACAGTTCCTGCCTTTGTGAAACTTTCACATGATACAGAAATTAAATAAGTATACAAATAAATATAATCCCAAGTAATGATAAATTCTATGAAGAAAAATTAAACCAGCCCTAGCCGGTTTGGCTCAGTGGATAGAGCATTGGCCTGCAGACCAAAGGGTCCCAGGTTCGGTTCTGGTCAAGGGCATATACCTTGGTTGCAGGCTCCTCCTCGCTCCTCGGCCCTGGCCCTGATCAGGTGTGTGCAGGAGGCAACCAATCGATGTGTTTCTCTCAAATCCATGTTTCTCTCTTCTTTCTCTCTCTCTCCTACACTCTCTCTAAAAGATCAATGGAGCATGGCTGGTTTGGCTCAGTGGATAGAGCGTCGGCCTGTGGACTAAAAGGTCCCGGGTTCGATTCTGGTCAAGGGCACATGCCTGGGTTGCGGTTGATCCCCAGTGGGGGGCGTGCAGGAGGCAGCCAGTCAGTAGTTCTCTCTCATCATTGATGTTTCCATCTCTCTCGCCCTCTCCCTTCCTCTCTGAAATCAATAAAATATATATATAAAAATAAAATCAATGGGAAAATATCCTCAGGTGAGGACTGACAAAAAATTAAACCAGGTCGAGATAGAAAATGCCGATGGAGCAGAGCAGTACTAAAGAATTCTCTGAGGGAATAACATTGAGGAGTCACCCAAGTGAAATGAGGAGCAAGGTCCTGGGAAAGAGTGTTCCAGGAAAAGGGACACCAGCATAATAAAGCTTCTGAGGCAGGAGCAGGTGTGGCATGTGGGAGGCATGCTCAAGGAAGAGCACGTAGGAGCTGAGGTCAGAGAGAGAAGGAGCCTGGCCGTGGCAACCTGATGCAGCTTTGGATTTTATTCTATGCAAAATGTGATGGGAAACGATGGGAAAATTTTGAGCAAGGGTTTGTTAAAATTTGATTGATTACCCTGACTACTGTGTATCTTTGTAAATAATTCATGTACTTGACCAAAAATGGAATCTTTTTTTTAATTCTCTTTCTATAAAGAGTTGTTAACTGATACATTAGAAACTACATATGCTATGATCAACATTTAAATTTATTTCTCTGCTACGTATTCAAAGTCCATTTTTTAAGGTTTACATATTAAAAATTGATCCTAGTAACAAAAAACTTATATCTAATTTAATGTTGGGTACTATTGACAGTATCCATTCAATATTTTTGGAAAATAGAGTTTAATAGACTTCCCTGTAAGACTATCATTATATTTGGACATGAGGAGCTGCCATACAGAAAAGCTTAAGTAATATGTTAAACAAGGATCTTGCCAGGTCGTGGGTTGCTTCTGAAAAGAATATTTAAAGGGCCCTAACTGATTTGGCTCAGTGTATAGAGCGTCGGCCTGCGGACTGAAAGGTCTCAGGTTCGATTCCGGTCAAGGGCATGTACCTTGGTTACGGGCACATCCCCAGTAGGGGGTGTGCAGGAGGCAGCTGGTCGATGTTTCTAACTCTCTATCCCTCTGTAAAAAATCAATAAAATATATATTTTTTAAAAAAGAATATTTAAAGGAAAGTGTGAAGCAACTGGGATGGGATGCAGATTATCTCATTTTCTAGAGAAATACATAGGTCTTGAGTTTGCCAGTGTGACATAGCCACTGAAGGAGAACTCACATCTGTGTATCATCAGTGTATTTTGGAGTGAAATATTCAGGCCTAAAGTGGGAAAAGAGTCTAATTTCTAAATGGAAGTAGTTATTTTCTGTAGCATTTTCTTTGCATTTTTTGAGAAATAACTAGCCTAGGTTTTGCAATACCAGCAGACCTCATAAAAATGTTTCTCATCCATGGATCTGACCCATTTTAGACAATTTTCTGAATGGATCCATTTGTTTTCATGAGCCAGTCATTTCCTTCTGCCTTTAAGGGTAGTTGTCAGAGGTCCAAAAGTACCACCAACACACTTTTCCCAAAAAGCTTTGCATAGAGATCTTTACTTGTGTAGAAAACAAGCTACGTAGATGTCTCCATTATCCTGGAGGGCAATGATACTGATGGTACCCCACGGTTCAGATAAGTGCAGAAGGAAATAGTGCTTTCCATTTTGAAGGAATTCGAATGAAATGTTATTGCTAATTAGGCTGTGAAATTAGAACAGTTGTAGCACTACAGAAAATTATGAAAGTGCTTTGGTACGTACAAAGGCTTGTTTGTGAGAAGACAGTTTTTATTGGTCTCTTTTATTGTGCCCAGTTAACTAAATGAGGCCTTATTCCACGTCATAGTTAGATTCTAAGTACCACAGTTTCCTGTCAGTGTAAGAGATTTCTAGCATAATAAGAATATAAAGGGGTGTGTAACTGGCTCAAACATTGATGGCTTAGCTTTAATTTCAGGTGTGAATGTTCTAAGTATTTACTAAATCTCAGCTGCCTGATCTGTGGATTAGCTCCTTGATAAGCCTGAGTCCATGTGAAACATCAGAATCTATTCATTAACGTTTGAAAATAATAGTCATTAGCCATCAGCCAAAGAGCAGTTCACCTGTGCAAGGATCATAACTGCTGTGGTATCAAGACAGGGCAGGTAGAAGCAGACTCCTAAATTACTATAGCTGCAGAAGGCTATGATTGCCAAAACATGTTTTCTATAAACCTATCATATAGGTCCCTAATAAACATTTTTCTGGGTTTTTTTTTAGTAGTCCAAAAAGTGAAAATAGGAGCTCCTATTAGTTAATCTGGAATTTGTCTTAGGTTTATTTCCCCCAAATTTCCTCCTCATCACTAATAAAAAGTTGTTTTCATGAGCTTACTATCCATGTATTTCATGTTTCCTTGTAGTTGGATTTGATCACGGATCTCTTGGGCACACCATCACTGGAAGCAATGAGGACGGCTTGTGAAGGCGCTAAGGCACACATACTCAGGGGTCCTCATAAACAGGTAAAAGGAGAAGGAAGGGATCTGTATTTGGTAACCCTCTCTTTGGGCAGGATTTTCCTTCCAACAGAATAATGAAGTGAGTTTTTATTTTTAATCCTCACCCGAGGATATTTTTTTCCATTGACTTTTTTAGAGAGAGGAGTCAGGAGGGAGAGGAGGGGGAGAGTGCAAAAGAGAGAAACATTGACATCAATAGGTTGCCTCCCACACATGCCCCAAGAAGAGCCAGGGAGGAACCGAACCTATAACCGAGGTACGTGCCCTTGGCTGGGAATCGAAATCGGGACATTTCGGTCCACAGGCTGATGTTCTCTAGCCACTGAGTCAAACAGTCAGGGCAGAAGTGAGAATTTTTAAACAAAAACATTACGTGTAGCCCTGCCCAGTGTGGTTCAGTTGGTTAGGCGTCATACCATGCACTGAAAGTTTGGTGGTTCAATTCCAGGTCAGGGCACATGCCCAGGTTTCGGGCTAGATCTCCGGTAGGGGGCATGCAGGAGGCAGCTGATCAGTGTTCCACTCACATCAGTTTTTCTCTCTCCTCCTCTCCCTGTCCCTCTCTAAAATCAATTTTTAAAAAACCACCATATCACTTGTAAGTTTTATTTATCCTGTATGTCATTTGTCTGTAAGAAAGAAAATGTTAGATCCAATAAAATACAGTAATTCCTAATGCTGTAGGAGAAAGGAAATATTTTTGTAGTGCCCTTGCTAATAAATGACCCCTGGTATTTTTGTGTTTTGGCCTTTTGATGTGTCTGGTAAAAGTCCCTACAGGTGGATCTTTAACCTCAGTGCCATAACCTAATACATATATATCAGGATGTCCTTTCCAAATACTGAACCAAAATACCTAGTATCTCTTAATGCAGCTGTGAATGTGAAGCTGTTTCTATTGCACTCTTGCCACTGACACACAAGCAGATGCGAGTGTTGTTAGAAATGAAGTATGAAGAGAGAGTGCCAGATTTACACTGATTGATATTACTTGCACCCAGCCAAGCCCTTGCTGAGAAAGACTAGATGTTTTTTTATCTCCATCCTATTGATTTAGAAGCATTTTTTAGAAGCATTTTTCCTAATCTTCTTTGGACAAACAGCTTAATGACATGAAGAGTGAATAAATGGAATACTTTTCCTAGGGACAACAAACTGAAACAGAAGAGAGAAGGCTTAAACAGGAAGACTCAGCAACTAATTTTCCTGGGCTTTGCCTTGGTTTCTTTTAAATTGAGCATTTGGAAGATCTGATTGATCTAAGTGACCAAATGACAGACCGAGTTTGACACTCCTTCTCTCAAATTAGCCAGACCTTTAGTCAAAGCCTTACCTTTTCCTTGCAGTTCCCTTTCTGTGGGTCTAGTAGTGTGACTCCAGAGCATCCATTTGCACAGGCACAAAGACAATGAGTAAAGTGTGTTACGTCCTAAAACCAGCCCGAACCAGTAAATAGGGTTGTAGATGCTGGTATTTTAAATAGCCCCTGCCTGGTGCGTTCTCCCTCACCTGTCCCTCTGGGAGCACAAGAGCACACCTGCTCCTTCCCCCTCCCTTGTTCCTTCCCCCTCCCCTGCTCCTTCCCCCAGGTGCATTACCTTTCCCTTTCCCTCTCCTAAGCTCCAAGTGCCCTTCTTTTGCCTCTGAAGCCCTGTTTCTGAGCCTACACAGCCCAGCTGGCTCACTTCTCCTACCTCTGTAATTCTCTAAGTAAACTATAACATAATTTGAGGCCCTAATTTCTTTAGAAGAGGACAGTAAGTCTTAACCTACAGGAAGGTTCCATGTTAATAGAACTAAAAAGATCTATTATGTTTTATGTATTGGCCAGTATCAGGAATATTAAACTATTTTATCAATACCTCATGGTAAATGTGTCCTTGGAAATAGCAAAATAATTTTCCTGTTTTACTGACCTCTTTAGGTCAGATTTTAACTATTGCTAGTGGTTGCCAGTTAATTCTTCCTGTATGTCAAAGAGTTACTAAACAGCAACCAAGAGAGCCAGACTTCCTAAGGAGTTTCCTGCCTGCTACCTGCAACAGCTCGAAAATGTAACTCACTGCACCAAAAGTCACTTTGCACTCCTCTGAGAATTCCTGACAAATGAGTCCTTTTTGTACTACTGATTTTAAAAATCTGTTAGTTGTAAAAACCCGAAACTTTAAATTAAATAAAAAATAGTAAATGTCATTATTATTTAAAACAAAGGGTGGAAGAAAGGAAAATGTAACTTAACTAGTTAAATGGGTTAAGATGTTTAGCAGAATTCTTATACATTTTTACATGAATTGGCTTCATAACAGTAATGCCTCTTAGAGTTTGACATTTTGCTTATCACTAAGTTTTAGTGATGGCCTCAAGAGAGCACCATGGTAAAAGTTGGGATGGCTCTGGCTAGTCTTGAGATGAAAATATTTTCATTTTGAAGAGAAGACTGGTGGAGTAAAAACTAGTTAGGAGACCATTTCTGGAGACCATTTCTGCTCAAAAGTTAGATATGCTTTTCACAGATCTTTAGAGGACTTTTAACCAGTGCTGGAAAGGGCCTCTTTAGGCAAGTGTTCATGATCTTTGAACATTAACACAGGTAGATTTGAATAGAGTAAGTTATACCTACCATATATATAATTGAATGTAAATTAACTTAGCATAGTACTTGGTACCATTTTTCCCCCAGTATGGAAATTCAGTTTATCTACATTTCCTAGTTGATCTTTATATTACCGCTGCTCTCAAGAGAAGTTAACCAACCCTTGAAGCTCTCTAGTTAAGCCATTAGTCAAATTCTGCCCCTTCCCTTCCGATTCCCTACTCCTTCCCTTACACCATGATGCATGTCTTATATGCCTATTTTTAGCCCAATAGCAGCTGCTTGAAGGTATCTCCATTCATGTTATAGCTATTTAGAGCTGACATTGGAAGACACATACACACCCACACACAAATAAATTTGTTATGTAGTTACTTGGATTTTTTTAAATTAATTTGGTCCCCAATCCAATATATGCAATATAGCTTGTGTGCTTCTGTACATCATGATGATTTTGCAAAGAGCATTGTGCATATCTCAGTGCTCTGTTTGTTTCTCTAGACTGTAGTGACTAGGAGTGCAGGCTGTGATGTCAGTGTCAGGCTTACCACATCACACAGGATGTTGAATGATGTCCCAGGAGTTGTACACTACAGTTTTCAGACAGACTGTATATGACTCCCGACTCTACCAGTAACTCACTTTGTGACATTAGGCAAATTACTTAACCTTCATGTGCCTCGGTTCATTCATCTGTAAAATGTGAACAAAAATGGTTCCTACCTCATTAAATTGTTATAATGGTAAAGAAATAGTGGATGCAAGGAGAACATATAATAGTGTCTGGCATTCTAAACACTTAATATATATTAAAAATTAAAGTTTTGATAGTATAAAGATCAACTAGGAAAATAATAGCTATAGCTTGTGATATTTTTTTTTAAATAATATGATCACATGGAGCTTATCCCAGGAATGCAAAGATGTTCACCTTAATTAATACCTTAAGTCCTCAAAACACTATAATGTGACATTTATTATTCCTTTTTGCAGATGGGAAATGGAGGATTATAGAGGTTAAATAATATGCTTAAGTTCATAAATCAAATCTCAAAAATAGATTCCTCTAATTTTATTTTTTAATATATTTTATTGATTTTAGAGAGGAAAGTAGGAGAGAG